GCAAGCTTCGTGCTGACTCCGAAAAGCCAGACTATTAGAATCCATTAAAAAAAATTAACGCATGTGTCTGTCTGAATGCTCGTTGGCTGTGGTGAGTAGCTGGAATTGTGCAGACCTGTTTAATGAGTGTTTTGTGTGATTCTTCATCTTTTCCAAGGGTTGCCTGCGGATGGACCCTGCCGAGAGGCAGACATGTGAGCAGCTGCTGCAGCATCCCTATTTTGACAGCATTAGGGAGGCAGCGGATCTGGGCAAAGAACATGAAAAAACGTCTCGGAAACCAGCCAGGATGACTCGGAAGCACGTGGCAGGGGTAACATTTTCATAGTATTTCATGCTCTGTACCTGAGGAGAGGGCTGCTCTCTGGCTCGCAGGAGGTGGGCTCATGTTGGCAGTTAACGGCGAGAGAGAGCTCCTGCCTTGCACCAATCTTAATTTTAGCCTGAGGAGGAAATGAACCTCCTGGCTAAGGAGTAACTGAACCGTGTGCTGCCGCTGCATTGAGTCACTGGGGATAAGCAGCACAGCGATGTGGAAGATCGGGTTTATCCAGGAATGTGCGTTCCTGACAAAGAATAGCAGGATAGCTGAACATGCTGGATGGGCTTGTGTGGCTGGTTCAGTTTGGAGATCTCAGGGATCTTTTTGGTGCTTTTGAATCCCCAATTATGGAGATGGCAAAAATGCCCAGATGCATTTGTAACCGCCGATGAGATGTGGTCCCTTACTCGGTTCCAGACGTTACAGAGTGCACAGGGTGTTTCTGCAAGTGGAGCTGCTGAGGAACTGTCTCCCTCCCGCCTGCCCCCCGGTGCAGCCTGGCGGGGAGAGTCACTCCCCTGAGTGTTCTTCCTTCCCCTGAGCCACATTCCCCATCACAGCAGTAACGCTGGTCTGGTAACATGCAGGGAAGTTGGAGGTGTAAGGTGGAGAACTGCTACAGCATATAAATCCCTGAACTGACTCGCCTCTTCCATTTCTATGACATAGGATATAACAGTAATATTTTTCTTGCCCTGGATGACTGGAAGAAATACCTTTAATGAGCTGGTCTGGTTGCAGTCCAGTTGTAGAACCCCAGATCCACGACTCTTAGTTTGAAAAGTATAGGCTTACAGTACGAATCGTTTTAGTTTTCCATTTGAAACATGAAATGCGCGCTTTGTTCTGATTTCAAACAAATCTCCACTTTGTAACTTTTCCTTTAGTTACAGTACCTGCCGCAGTTAACCAGCAGTAATGTTCTGCCAGCTTTGGACAGCAAGAAGTACTGCTGCAAAACAAGGAAGTCCAACTACCATTTCCCTAACATCTAACCAGACAGCAGATTAAAAACTGTTTATTGCTCAAAAGGAGGATACGTGGTGGAAAACTAAATTAATACATGTTATGACATATACAAAATTGGTCTGTAAAGTAATGGACTCTGGGTCTCTAATGGAAGGAACGTGATGCACAGAGAGAACTCCAAGCTCGTGTTAGTCAGTGTTCTGTGTACAAAGGAAAATACATTTGTTTTGCTTTTAATTTGCGATTGTGTACTGGTTCAGGATGGTGTACTGGTTCAGGATTGTGTGCTGGTTCAGGATTGCTGCAACCCAGTGTTTACAGTGTGAATTTAGAAACTCTCGCCTATCCATCACCTGTATTTTAGACTTGGCAGAAGAATTGCAGCCTTGCCAAATAAATCGGTCCCCCTGTATCCAAACAGCAATACTGCTTCAGACTGGGGCCAGGTCGCAGAGCCCACGAGGAGAACCGTACGTGTATTGCTGATGTGTGTGGAAGACAGGTGTATGTGTTTGCTGAGCCAAGCCTGATGAGAGGCTACCAAACTGCTCCGGTTGGTTATAAACCTACTGGAATAGCACTGCTCTAAAGCTGTGTCTGTCTAACGCACTGTATCTGTAGATCCCAAAGTACTAAAGGTACTGGTAATGACGTAGACTTCACGGAGGGCTCCACAGGCACCCTCACCAGGAGGAGAACATTTGAATAGTAAAACCCGTTGTTTCTTTAGGCTTTTCAGAGTTTCTCCTGCTTGTTTTTTCCTTACATTATCAGGCAGTTTTTACTTGCTGTTTCTGTCAATAGTGAAGTCACTTGCCTGTAGCGTTTATCAAAAGTAATTCATTAATATAACATTGGCCTGACACAGGCAGGAATTCTACCTAAGTACATGTATTAGAATGATTCTTGGGTTTTGTGTAATCTCAGGATGTAATATTGGGTTAATTTTGAATAAAAGAAACGTAGCTTGTTTTTCCAGTTTACTGGATCTGGTTTACAGCACGAAGTTTCACTACAGGGCAAGGAAATCCTCTTTCTACTTGAAACCTAGAGCAAAAATGTTTTCTTTTCCCAGTAACGTTCTGTGCTCAACAACACTAAAAGCAATTTCGATGTTTGTGGATCACTCCACTGAAAACAAGCAAAGGCTACATCACTGAAAGCGTGACAAACACAAAAAAGGCCCATAAGCCATTTTATTAAATCGTCACCCACTGACTGGGCGAGATTCTCAGGGTAAACAGCTCTCATTCCCACAGCATCGACACCACGCAGCAGAAGTGTATGGCGCTGCTGTTTCACAACACTGACGTTCTTCCCACTGTCATTTTGCACAAGAATTTCTGTGCGATAAAATACTTGAAAACTTCTAATTGATGTACTGACAGCTTCTTATAAAAACAGGAAAATAATTACTATGCACAGAAGCCTACCTTCTCCGCTTTGATTCACCATATAGTTTAAGCTTAATAAACCTCAATGGCATAATTTGTCAAAAGATTGCATACAGCTTTTAAGGCAGGAATGGGAGATCTGGGCTTATTTCCATACCTGGAAATACAGTAGCATGTACAATTTAATTTATGCAACATATCATAAATCCCATGAAATCAAATACACCTCAGTTATGTGTCATGGCATTTATTCTAAATCCAGCTCCAGCTCGAGGTTTGGCAGTGCCTGCTGAAGGATGCGAACAGTAGTTTCTTTCTCTCTTATTCCAGGGAGGTCACTCAGATACAAATATTCAAGGTTCCTACAAATATTTAAGAAGAAAAGTCAGCAACTACTATTTAACTCTTGACACAGAAATTAGACAATGGATTATTCTACCATAGTTATTTTGAGTATTTTAAAAAGTTACTGGTTCTAATGGGAGTTTTATTCCTGAAGTGGGTGCTTAAGATTTTTAGCTCACCATAAGTTCAGTCCTTCTACACACCTTAAAAACAGATCCTGGACCCCCCACCTCAGGAAGCTTCCTTTATATCAAATAGTATTTAATAATTTCAATATCAATTTAGCAAAACTTATTTTAATGTAAATAATAGAGTAATATATAAAGTCCTTATTAATAACTTTCTGTAGGATGAAATCCAAGTCCCCGCATCACCCACTTGTAGATGTCTGTAACTCCGTGTAATACTGAACAGTTCCCAGTTACGTTCAGGTTCGACAGGGAGTGATGGGCGTGCTGCAGAGCTACAGAGCTGCGCGGTACCCGACCCCTCCTGCTTCCTCTGCCCCAGCGCTAGAACGCACAGCTCTGCACCAAGACCTCTGTGGCCCCAATGAGCATGAGACAGCTGAGCGATAGGAAGCAGTGTGAGGTGGAGAAGGATGATAAACGTTACAGGGCACCGTCAGCCTGCCCTGAAAAGGAACTGCAGCAGGGGGGGGTCAGGTATAGAAACCGAGGTGGTCATTAATTACTTCTTCTCAAGCAAAACCCACCTCGTGTGCCAATGTGAAAGGAAGCTGTACACGTTCACTGCTATCATAAAGGTGGTGTGTCGGCAGAGAGCACACGTCCTGCTCTAATTTGCGCAGCAATCAACACTGCCTAAGTGTAAAGGGGAGATGCTGTGCTTAACTCTGAAGGCAGAAGCGCAACCATACATTCAAGTACTGCAGTGGGTGACTCTGGCGTTCTCAGCTGCACAACTCCCTGACATCAGCCTTAAAAGGCTGATTCATATGCATACGTTAATCCACACGTCTTCTCAGCGCTATCCACAACACTGCCTTCAACCACGCTTGAAGAAACATTCCCTGCAGTGGTAGTGTCACCGCCCCCCCCCCAGGCTGCCATTCAGGCCAGTCCCCAAACACTGCCATCCCACAGCCCCACACCTCTGAAACAGCCCAGAAACCTTCAGACTTCGGCCCGTCCAGTCAACCCAATCCCCAAAGCGCGGGGTGGTAACAGCTAGGAAGCAGAAAGAGCTCAGCAGCGCACGTACGTCAGCTTGTGAAGCGCAAGGATGCCTTTATCTGTGACATTCCCACAGGAAATGATCTGCAGCTGGAGGAGGCTTTTCTGCAGATTCTTCGTCTCGCTGAGCCTCTGCAGACACTCATCCTGGATGTAAATACACTTCTGCAGCTTGATTTCTGTAACATGTTCAAGACCATCTGGAAAGACATAATCGAGTATTTGCTTCAGAACACCAGGAACAACCTGTACTGGTTGTTAAGTTCTCACTCGCCAATTTAGTAACTGCCTCCAAAGCCACACAGCAACACGTTCCTCTATATAGCGGGGCCATAACGCACAATAAAGCTTCAAAGTCCCTTTATGGTACTTGAAATATATGAAAACTCCAGGGTTTGTACCCTCTTGGTAAGGTTCTAAGACCTTTGACATGGGCAAGTAACAAAAACCTCTCCAAGTTTGGGAGATCAGCAATGACTGAATTTGGAACACAGTAATGCAGAAAATTCAAGGTCCTCTGCCAATAAAAACCCAAAATGATCTGTTTCCCGTTTTGTTTTTTGTTATTCAAAGAAGACCTGAAACATTTTTTAAATTTTTGTTTGTTTGGTTTTTTCTAAGAAACTGAGAGCTTGCTTTTTTTTTCTTTGAAGACATCATAAATGCCTGGAGAACAAGCAGTATCCTGACTTCACAAACACCAAAAATATCACTTGCTTTAGAAGAAAAAGAATATTTAAAGTAGTGCTTTTTGCTACCAACTACTTAACTATGAACTAAACGAAACAGCAAAACTTTGGCAACTCTTCCTTAGTGCTACTGTCACTTTAGGTAAGGGCTGATGAAGTTCCCAATCTTTCTGCTTCACAACACACCACCAGCAAAATCTTAGGAAGCGCTGAATATTTGTAGACCCATTTAAGAAAAAAAAAAAAAAAAAAGACTTCAAAAGATTTCTCTATATCTTACTACTAAGCAACGTCAAAATGACCGGGTTATTTGTATTTTGATGCAACTTAAAGAACTAAGACCATTTGGGATAATCTCTGCGCAGCTGTATCTACGTTACCCAAATAGTCAAATCCTCTGTACATGATGCAAGAATCAGTGGCATTAATTGCTTCTATCTTGTATTTCCCCAAGGGCCCCGTCGGGAGACCATTGTAGTCCTGCTGCCATTTCTGATAGCCTTGATAGCGCACCAGGGCACCGCAGCGCAACAGCCACTCTGAAGCTGCCCTGTCAGGGCCAACAGCTTGTATACGGTCGTAGTCCACCCTGCCAAGACACAAACAGCATTCACACGGTTTCTACAATGCGGCAGATTTATTGTCTTTATGATAATACTACTCCACAACATATATTTGGTTATGTGCATGATAAGATGTCAGAAAAGTAAGAATATGATTTACAGGAATTATTTGCATGGTGCTGGTTCTTGATCAGTCTGGCATGAGGGGTTTTTTAGCTTGTTTTAAATGACAGATGCTTTTGGTAAAAGAAGAAAGCATACAAATGGAACTTGACTTCACCCTTCTAACTGTTTGTGTTCTTCCACGTCTGTAAGGAGAGATAAAAAACGCCTTTCTCTACCCAGGGTAAGGCTTTACAGTTGCAAATTTGTCTCCCAAACATTGATTATATAAAAACCTCTCATTGCCTGTCACATGTGTGTCATTCCTGAAGCCTTTTTTCCTCAACAATTACAATTTTTCAAAAAGATGCACTTCAGCAATCAGTTAAAATCCTTGGGTCCATTCAGGAAGAGGGTATCTCTCTTGGTCTGGTGAGGAATGCTGCAGGCAGAAGCAGAGACCTGGAGGAGCTGAGCTCCCCACCCCGTCACAGCAAGCAGCCGCACCACGCAGCCCGTCCCACACAGCTAGAAGACGTGCGGCAAAACTGCTAGCTATTGGCAAAAGTTATGGGCAGAGAGTGTTTCACAGAGGAAGGTTCTATCTAAGCGTAAAACCCTCGCGTGGCTGAACCACATGGCGAAGGACGGGTTGGTTAGATGCTTTCCTGAATGAGTGCAGGGGGCACGGTTGCGCTGCTGGCCCAGACGCAGGCGTTGGGCAAAGGAAGACGGGCACTAAGGGTAAGAATCCGCATGGCCAGCTCGCCTCGGCCGCCCCGGGGAGGGGAGCAAAGCCCACACCTTCCTCTGCAGGGCCACAGCTTTGTCACCAGGCACAGGGAAGGAACGACCCCTGCCAAGCGGCCACATGCAATCTGGAGCAAAAGAAGCGCACTGATAATGGAAAATCTTCTCTCCACCCCTGGGACTTAGCTCTCCCCGCTCCACAAACGGGGCGGTGGGTACGTGGGCCCCGCTAATGGACCTGCGCGCACCCAATGGCTCTTACTTGTTGAACACAGCATTCAGCCATCCCCAGAAGCGTCTGCAGGCGCCCGGCGGCGGCACCTTGCTCAGGCTGCACACCGGCTGCGCCAGCTTCCCCAACAGCACCATGTTCTTGTAGCAAAGGAGAGAGGAAGACGTTATTTGGAGTGTCAGCGGCAGCACAGCCCGCCCGTACCCGACCTCCCCTCAAAGCCTAAGCGGGTCCGTCAGCCCAGCAGGCGGGAGGGCT